TGCAACGAAAGCTACATCTCCACGGGATCTGTCTACACAGACACTCTCAGGAAAGGTAATCTGAATTAAAGACAAGGCAGGATTACTTAAAACTTCACAACCACCCTATTAATGATTTGGGATTAAAGCAGTCACCACACTGTTAAGTGAACACGACCCCACACAGGAGGCTTAATGCATGTTAATTAATCGCCCTGGGATAAAAAGTGAATTTGGCTTAACACCCTCTGGGTCACTAGCTCCAGCAGGAGGAGATAGTGATGGACAAACCTTAAACGTGACAAAACCCAGGAGCTGTTCTGAATGCTGCCTGGAACTGGAAGAAACACGTCCTGATGCTTGTAAGATCCCAGTCAAACAAAAAGAGCAATCTTGGAAATGGAAACTAAGGATCAGGCTTTTCTGAGCACTTTGTATGTTGGATTTTGCCTACATGATTCATTCGTTAGTAGCCGCAGGGCTGGAACAGAATGCAGACTGCCGAGCCTCCGTGTTGTGCCTGAACCACAGGGCTATTCCTGACAGTTGACTCGCTTCCTCCTCCTGTCAGCACCTTGCCAAAATTACAGCAAAGGGGAAGCGGCAGTGGATCACCTCTCTCTTGTGAACCGCAGTGAGGGAAGAATAACTCTTTGAATCATCCCATTCTTTCCTTAATTCCAGGTGACTGAATCACTCCTGACTCACAGCTCCCAGCAATGGCCCTGACTCCCACTGGGGTCAGCTGCGCAGTTACCTTCCCGTTGCACTCAAGCAGATGCAAGCTGCCGGCGGGGGCATACAGACAAAATGCTGCCAGTGACACACGGAGAGACAGACAGGCACCTTCCACGGGCTTGCAAAGGTCGTAAGTAAGCATACGTGTTCATTCATGCTTTACATGCAGGCATGCACACTTGTTAAGGCAAATAAGGGCACACTGGTGTCAGATTATCCGGAGAATTCAGAGCTACCTCTAATGAGGACTGGGCGCTTTAAAGTGCTTGTCACTCAGTGTGACAGTGGGCAGAGTTTTACCTCCCAGGAGTTCAGCATCCAGCATGCTGAGCTGCCAGCGTTTCTGGGCTAGGGGAGCATGAGACAGTTGCACCGCTAACTGCAACATCTGAAAATCAGGAGGGTGCTTTTGTTTAACTACTGGTGCAAAACAAAAATCAGACCCACTCTGTTTTGGGAAAAAAGAAATCTTACGATGCTTCAAGTCTCCTGCTTATTAACCAGGCAATTTTCCAAGAAAAATGAATTTGCCTTGGTGGGAAAAAATGAGCAGTTGTAAGTAATTCAGTGTTGGCACGTTCAAGTTTGGAAGTTGAGAACAGTGGATTTTGTTGCATTCATGACAAAGCCAAAGGGGAAGGGCAGAAAGTAATTCAAAACAGAAATGGAAGATGAAAATTAAGAGTGTGAGCATATCTCTCATTAAAAAAAACCCAAAACCCACAAAAACAGAACTCCAACAAAAACTTTTAACTTATTTTGAGCAAGCAAAAGCTGACAGTAGTTTTCACTAGGTTTGCACAGCTTTAGTGTGTAAAAAGACAACAAATTTCTGTAGGGAAGGACTTACATTCTTGCACTTTTCTAGCATATGTCCAGGGACACATACTATCCAGTGGACACACCAGCAGGTATGCTTTTATAGGACTGCAGGCCAGCACTTAACGCAAACACAAGCACCCCCTGCCCTGGGGAAAAAGCCACTGTCCCTCTCTCCTAGCCCCTGGCTCTCACACGCATGGGATGGGAGCAAGCAGGGAGGGCAGCTGGAGAACTATGGATGCAGTTGTCTCGACTCTTCCAGGGAGACCCCTTTGGAAGTCCAAACTCACATACCTTCTGATTCACGTACCTGCCCGGCTGCTTTCCGACTGATTTAAGAGAGGGTTGATTGATAGCCCAGATGCGAGGGGGCTTCCAAAAATATGTGAGGAAGGGAGACTAAATGTTGAACCTGCCAGTGAGAACACCTACATGGCAAAACAAGGAGGGAGAGAGAGAGAAATGACTTCTCAAAAGTGCAAGAGGAAAATAACTTCATTATTCCATCTCCTCCGGACTCTTGAACCCAGCTTGCTCATGAGAGAGAGTGTTAAAAATATCTCCTTGGAAGCCTCGCTAGACAGTCGAAATCTTCCCAGACCCATCTCAGAGCCAAGAGGTCTGAATGAGCCATGTTAACACTGAGGCTGTAAAACTAACTCTCTCCTCCCTGTAAAACACCTCTCACAGTGAGCTCCCAACAAAGGACAAGGCTCTGTCTCCTGGCACATGCACAGCCCACCCAGCTGGGACATGTGAGCCCTCCCACCGAGTTATCTGTGCTGCAGAATGAAGGTAGGGCTGGCACTGGTGGCAGGATCCAGCAGGGGACGAGCAGCACGGGACACAGCACACACCAACAGCCAGGCCTCTGCTACCTGAGCGCTGTCTGTGCTCCCTTACAGTCAATGCAAAGCAATGCGTCCTTTTAGGTTGCAGTTCCTCCCACCCCAAAACAGGCTGCGTGGGCTGTAACACAAAACTGCCTACATCTTTCTACCGACTCTAAGGGAAGCTGCAGTTGGCAGCTCCCCTCCAAACTGAAGGAAGAGTAGCTGTTCCCAAGTGGAAAAAGCAACTCCTCTGTGCCCACAAACTGGCCCTGCTCTGCCACTGACTGCTCTGTCCAACGCTCTCCTGAACTACAGTCCCTCTCCTGGTCCTGATGTTCTTACCTGCGTGGTGGAGACCGAGGAGGAGGAAGCTGGGATGGTGCTAGCAAAGGGAGACCGGTTGAGCTGTGGGAGAGACGACGTACCCTGGTGTGCCAGCAGGCTGGAAGAGAGGGGTGTACTGCACACAGCTCGGAGCACTCCGCCCCCGTGGGAAATAGGGTCCTTGTTACTGGTGTAGATCCCTGCAAGGGGAGGAGACATGTTAGAGAGCCACGCTCCCCTTCGATGGCCTGGAAGCAGCTGGTTTTCTGCAGGGCTTGATCTCAGAAAGGGAGGGTGGCACCGATGCACAAGACCAAGTGTAACATGCACTTCAGCATCTCATGGCCCGGCATGCAGCGAGGGTGGTCACAGCCCACAATCCTTCTATCAAAAGGTATCACAAACTTTTCCAGCCTTGCCCCTGCCCCCCTCTTGTTTGCTCCTCGCGCCCCGATACAATCCGACAGAGAAATCACAGCATAAAGTGACTCACCAAAGGCACAAGTCAGTGGCAGAAGGGGGTACTCAGAGAGTCCCACTCTCCGCTGCTCGTGCTAGTCAAGAGACCACACTCTTGCTGAGCTAACCTGTTCCCTTCCGTGATGCCCAGGGACCACAGTGGGGCACGGACAGATGAATGAGGAAGAAAGGGTAAGGAGAGAGCTGCTGCTGAGGGAGGGGACCCATCTGACTTCCCCTTGGCTCAGGCATGCGGCAGAGGCAGTGCCCAAAGCCAGGTTCTTCAGAGCCCTGCCAACATCTCTCCGCAAGAGAAGAATGGGAGAACAAGCAGGCAGGAGAGCAGGGCCTGGCAGCCTCCTCCTCTTTGAAACATCCCTTTGTTGTTCCAGGGGGGAGGCAAAAAAAATTGGCCTAAGGTTATGATTATGGAAGTTGCATCAATTCTTGCAGCTCCTCTCCTCTCTCAGGCAGTGCAGACAAATGGGCCAGGACTCCCAGGCGCACACGACAAAATTATACCTCCCTGCCTTGCAATCTGACCTAAATCGGAGCATCCGAAAACAACCCACAATAGACCTATGACAAGTTCTGCTGCCAGAACAGTGTTAAACCTCAGCCCTGAGCAGCAGGCCCCTCCTCTGCCTCCTGCCTTAACCCTTTCCTGCCACATGTCCTGGCTGCCCTCATCCCTGCCAGGCCAGGGAAGGGGACCCAGGCTGGGAACAGCTGTAAGCCTCTCAGCAGAGTTAATGGTGTGCCAGTCTCCCAACCCTACGCGGATGTGGTAAGACCAGGATGAGAGGTTTTGCTTTTAGAAGAGGGGTTAAACTTGAACCACTTATGAGAGTCCCTCATTTGGGGTCAGATTGTGGTTGTTCCGGTTTGGCCTGTGAATATCCCTCTCTATCGCTTTGGAAATTAAACTCTGGCTACCTGAGGTTTTCCAGCACTTGAGCAAAAAGGGTTTGAAATGCCCCCCAGCTCAGATCGGCAGCCCAGCTCCAACGATAGAGAAGCTGACCCAGAGGAGATTCTAGGATGAAGGCCAAGACGGAAAGGGGAGACCCAGACGTGGATTTTTATAGCTCCTGGGACTGAATTAAAGGGAATGGACTCTGTGCAGACAGGTCCAGACACCAGCCAAATGTGATGAAAAAGACAGCAGGGCTGGGAGGAACTGTGCACACCTGGAGCCCTAAGGGGGAACATACCTGAACCCAGCAGCGGGGACTCCATGCTGAGGCTGGGCAGATTCCCCGTGTGGCTGAAGGACCGTGAAGAGTTGCCGATGCTGGAGCTAACAAGAGAGCCCCCGGAGAAGGGTGACGAGGAAGTAGACGTGGACCCAGCCAGCTGGGCGCCCAAAATCTCTTTGCTTTTGCCCCCTTTCGGCCTGCCAGGCCCATGTTTGTTCTTCTTGCTACCCTTGTGCTTCTTTTCCTTCAGCACCTCTCCCTCCTCCATACTGAGGGATGGCATGCGCTTGTGGCTGCTGCTGCTCCCGCTGGCCCCACTGCTCCCCACCGAAGGGACGCTGACAGGGTTCGAGGCTTTGTAGTCCACAGGGGAAGCATCACGGCCTCTCTGCTGGCTCACCGCGGACGTGGAGAAGCGCATGATAGACCCAAAGCCTGAGAAGATCACCTTCTGCTCAAAGATGTCCCCCTTCTGGCCTTCATACAGAGGGGAGCAGTGGGAAGAAGAAGAGGAAGAGACAGGCTTCCGGTACTTCTCCTCGTCCTGCTCAAGCTTGGGGAATGTCACAAAGTCCTGGGAGCACTGCAAGTTGCTGCAGGAGGTACCTGGGGGAAGCACAGGGGAAGCAGATATAGGAAGGCTCGTGGTGGCAGTAACTCAGCCCGTAAGGCAATGAGAGCACAGTCACAATGCAGGTCCTCTGGCACAGGCTAGTTACTGAGCTGAAGGACTTCTTTGTCACCTTCCAGCCCTGCTCCCCCGCCCCCGTTGCTTTGATGCTCTCTAGCAAGCATGAGAGGTGCACACCAGCAGCTTCATCCTATCCAAACGTGCACGTGTCTGCTCCCCCAGGCCCTGCATCACCACTGTGCCTCCAGCCCCGACTAGGGTCCCAGGAGATGAAACATGCTAGCCATTATGACAACAGCTCAAAAAAGAACTGAGCAAGGTCAGAGCAGATGGGAGCCCTGCAAGGCTTTGACTCAAAGCTCAGGGGAGCCTGGATATCAGGTTTTGGCTCAGGTCTCTCCACTAGTACTCCTTAAAACACTGCTGCAGACAGTACCACCTACAGAGGAGAGGGCAGGTGCTGCCCATATTGCCTGCGCACAGTATCCCTTCCCTCCTTCCTCCACTCAGACATCTGGATCTGTTTTTCCTTGTAGTGCAACAGGCCTGCACAGGAGGGGAGCTGTAACACTCATCTGACTCAGTTCTTCCCTCTGTGCATGGAGTTAGTAGCAATAAGACTTTTCCCTTTCTCTTCAAGGGGTTTAAAGAAAGAGCCGTCAGCAAAGTTTCACAGCACTAGCTGGCGAACGGCTAGCTTTACAGATACAGAGATATCAAAGAGGAGCAAAGCAAAACATCACCCCCATTCTCCCCTCCTCTCTTGCTTCTCCTTCACCCCTTACCTGCAGGCTGGAAGGTCCCACTGGAGGAAGCTGAGCTGAAGCCAACTGAGCTTTTCCCGCTTCCCGTCTTTTTCCCCTTGTGGCTGCTGCCATGGCTTGAGGACTTCTTGCCTTTCACCTCCGACCTGCCGACCTCCGAGGTCTCTTTGCTCCCCTCATGGTGGCTGGTGGAGCCCTGGCAGCAGCAAACACAGAGGTGACTCACTCGGGCCAGATGTGGCCACAGCAGGGGCTCTTTTTACCAATTTCCCCTTAAGAGAAGTAATTGCCCCCTCTGCCCACAAAGCGATGGTCAGGTCACGTTACTCAGGAGAGAAAAGCAACATTCCCCTCTACTGCTGCTTGGTGGCACCAGGCTTTATACTCCTAGGGATTACGCTCATCCCATCTAACTGCAGGAAATTAAACAGGGCACTGACAATCAGGGCACAGACATCAGAGATTCCCCCGCATCGTCAGCAAAGGGGAGTACCTCAGAGGGTTATTCCGCCCAAATAAAATCTGAATTTGGCTGTGATTCAAGCATATATTTCAGCTGCATCTCTCAGGTGTGCTATCCTCAGCAAGGTCATTCCACCCGGGGGAACCTGCTCATCCTTGTGCTGTGATGGGAGTTTCCCTGGGTTCTCTAAAGCATCCACTGAAGCACCTCCACTGCCAGCCCAGGGCTTTCCAAATCTACTGCAGTAAATATTTCACAGTGACATTGTTAGAGCAGCATCAGAGCATGCAGCAATAGATGCTATCCAAACCCCATATAAGCCTGCAGGAGACATGGAAGCAAGGGGGATGAAGAGGCTGGCCAGATGCTAGGAAATTCAGGAGCTTGGGATGAGAGAGAGAAGTGTGGGAGTTTAGCAGGGGGAGAGTGGAACGAACTGAAAACCAGATCCCCCGGGGCACCCACGCTAGGATATGAAACCTTCATCTTCAAGTCACTTCAAAACCAAACTAGCAGTGTTCAAAGATCACTTCTTGCAAGACATTACTGCAACCAATCAATATTATAGATATAGTTCTAATGTGACGGCTACAGCCGAAAATGTAACACCTGTACATTAGTGCAAACACCTTTTATTTCTTACTGAGCAGATACAGGGAAGACACAGAGAAGCACAATACCTTTCTTACATTCCACTATCCCTGACTCCAGATGACCTCTTCTTGGGGAGAGCTAAAGAAAAAAGGGCTTGTAATGCAGACTCATGAATGCCCAGATAAAAATCTTTCCCCATTCCTCCCACATGGTTTAATCACTCTGCACAAGGCAACAGCTGGCAGCCTAACACACACCAGATGTGCTGGGAATATGAAAGACAGGAGGAAGGGAGTGGTGGAAATTAGGGGGGAGAGGAGGGGGAATCTGTATTTTCTCATCACAGACTCCTGGATGTAGGAGATTAAGCCTTCTTGATTTATGAGCTCAGAGGGAGCATGAAAATCTTTCCGACTTTCCACATCTGCCTGGGGAGGGAAAGGAGAGCAGTGTCTGGGGGCTATGGGAAGCCCTGAGACTGCTCATGAAGTCGCAGGAACGAGATGGCTCATGTCTCAGCAGAAATGCAAAGCCCCGAATTTTCCCCCCATAAATTCACCTCTTTGGAGCTCCGCACAAGGTGCACGAGGCCACAGAAGGGCAGGGGGAAACCACATGAGAAGACATGTTCTAAATCCAGAGTGTCAGGAAGGGAGTGCAGGGCAAGTAATGAATTAGTGCAGGGTGGAAGGGGGAAATCTGAGCTGGGAAATAAATCTTAATTGCAAAATTAAAGGCAAAAAAACCAAAGAGGGTAAGAGAGGCTGAGCTGGCTCAGCTGAAGACGGTGAATGGACACTCACCTGTAGGGCTGATCTGACCTCACAGACCTCCCTGAGAGACTCCCAGAGATTTCACGGGCAGGATTTTCCCACCTCCTGCCAAACGCTATCCTAGATATTGTTTGCCAAACAGGTCACAGCAGACAGATCTGTATGATACTACCACAAGCCCTCCTCACCACAAAGGGCCCTTCTCTAGCAGCCATTCCAGAGAGCCTGAATTTGGGGCAAGGACCCAAGCGTTGCAGCCAAGAAGCAAAGAGAGGGAAACTGAAACCACACTAAATCACTTCCCCTCTCTGTGCCTCTGTTTCTTTCCCACTTTGCTCCGTGGAGCCTGCAAGCTCTGTGTGGCAGCGGAGCCTTCCAGGAGACACACGTGGACTGCCAAGCACAACACAGCCTTGATCTGCAGGGGAGGGGTCTGCTACCATAATGCCAATATTAATAACAGTAACGAGGGCTGCAGTCCCATCGCCTCCCTAACGAAGGAGATTCTCCAGCTCAGGGCTGCTGCCTAGAGGGAGCAGGACTGGAGAAACCTGCGTGCCTGCTGCTTGCCTTGTGCATAAACAGAGGTCTCAATCTCTGGATCATCGGCTTTTCTCCAGCATCGAAATCTGTGTGTGTGCAGAAACACCAATGTTTTGTGTGCTGCAAACAGGTGTGTGGGGGAGGGCATGCTGCAGAGGAAAAAAAAAAGGGAAGCACTGAGGAAGTGAGAGCTCTCTTTCAAAATGAGGCAGCAGCTACATTTCGAAGGTCTATTTAAAGCAACCAAGTGAAAAATATTACCAGAATAAACCTGCTGCCCCAGCTGGAGGTGACAGTCCGATGGGGAAACTCCTGCCTCAACCCAGGAGCCAGGAGAAGTAGGACGAAGTCGCAAGGGCACCCAAGCACAGGCATGCACGCACCTCCTCCCCCCCGGCACTCGCTGTCCCCCGAGGGGCTGTACCTGTTTCCTGGCCTCTCTGTGACACTGTGCAGCACCCCAGCTCTTCATTCATTAATTTATTTATGGGAAATCAGAAGAGCATCTCTTTGCCTCCTGATTGGCGGGACGAGCTCCTAGAGGGAACCACTGACGAAATACAGAAGGGGTGGGGGAGGCTGGCGCCGCGTCGGAAACACAGAGCAGCTTTGCCCTGGATTAAACTACTGGTGAGGGGAAGCAGGGAGGACACGAACGAGGAACAATGCGACAAGAGCAGGAGCTCCTCCAGCCCACGCACCACAGGGAGATGTGCTGAAGCAGCCACCCAGGCAGGTTGTAAGCATCAGCTGCCTTTCCACGCTGGATCACTAGGTAGAGGTCAGACAAGTCTCCGTCAGGGGCTCTGGGCCAAAGCGCTTGTACAAGCTACGGCACTCGCAACCTTTACCATGTCCTTCCCCTCAACCTCGAGATCAGGCAGCACTGTGCTGCTGTTCTTCATAGGCGGGGATAGGAGACATAGATGGGCTGAAGACCGTATTTTTAAGTCCCTAATGTCACTGGCAAATTCCCACTCACGTCAGGACAAGGGATGCTAAAAGGCTCAAGGATTCTTACTGCGAATATCCATGCTTTGATTAGCAGGGGTAATCATCAGCCTTCCCCCACAAACCCTGACCCCATCCCAGCAACTGTGAATTTGCCTGAGCCAGGCACAGGGCAGAAGTTCCCAGGATCTGTCAGCTCCAGGCCAGTCCTGGGTAGATGCTGAGAGCTCAAGTAACAGTGGGAAACCTGGAAAGTCTCCCTGCCTCGGGTGGCATCTGCAATCACGTGCTCTTCGCCCTGCTGTGCTCCCTCTCCAGCACCTGACCGGGAGAGGGTGGGTGCAGGGAGGCCTTGGCATCCACGGCTTAGATTACAAAACCCAGAGCAAGCCAGATGTTGCAGCCCAAAACACATAGCATGTGTGAGTGTGTGTCAACAAGTGATCATGATGTCTGCAGCTGGCAGAAGAAGGCAGCTGGGGTGGCTTGCAATCCTGCAGATTTACTGCAAGTGCAACAGAGAGCGGCAGGATGGCTCCCCAGGGGCATGTGCAGGGGGAGGGGAGAGGCACGCTGCTTGCTGTTCGGCTGTTCACTAACCCCGATCCCAGCAGCAGGCACCAGCTACACGGAGAGATCCTGAGCACAGAAACTGCCTCCTGAATTTGTCTGGCGGTGTGTGACTACGGAGAGGGAGCAGCCTTGGCTGCCAAGACTTACTGGTGAGACTCATTGCT